AAACCCTAAACCGTGAACCCAAAACCAAACTCGAAACGATTATTATCAAACCTTGAGCCCAACGAGCAAGGAAGCGAGCTGCAAAATGACTTCGGACTCCGATCACGGTTTAGGGTTTAGGGTTTAGGGTTTAGGGTTGATACGAATGGAAACAAAACTACTACAAATGCCTAGAGCTTTAGTGACACGCCCACGACCCTATCCAAGGTTTGAATCCCAAACCCCAAACCTAAACTACCTAAAACCCTAAAGCTGCAGAGCTGGCACGATAACACCTCGCGGAAGAATCTTTTGATTCTGAGAAAGCCCATGTAAAACGCGTGAACAAGGGCGTAGATCCCTACAGACTGTTACAGAGGCCCGACGAAACTCATTGGATGCTCCAAGACTGTCATTTAACATCGTAGAGACCATTCAAAATAAACTCAGAAGAACCACATAAAGTGGTAGACAAACAACTCGTAAATGACCCTTCGAAGATAGACAAACCCACACCCGAAATCCTAATTAAAGCCCGTTAGCACAACAAACGATAGGACACAACCACGCACAACAACAAAACAACACCAACACCAGAAAACACGCGCGGCTGGGCCCCAGGCCGTCGCAGATCTGCTAACGAGGTCTGCGCAAGTTCATTTGGACTGATGAAACCAAGGGGCAGGGTTCAGAACATTAGTCCATAAGGGGGTCCTTATAACAGGGATCCGACTGTTCAGAGTGTGTAAACTACCCTCTGATCTGAAACTCCCAACATCACGGAATTTCTACATCCACGCCTTTCTTTAAACAGTGCTGCCAGTCGCTCTTGTTCCAGTTTCGTTTCGTGGTGCATTGAAGCTATGGTGTGTGTGTTTGTGTGTGTGTGTGTGTGTGTGTGTGTGTGTGTGTGTGGGACTGTAGGGCTTCTACACTGGAGGGTGTTGGTATGTTTTGGGTTTTGGAACCTTAGCGGCTGGGTTCTCCAGCCCAAAAAAAAGGTTAACCTTGTCAAGTATGGTAGGGTTATATAGACCCCGAAAGGTCCTTTTAACCTTAAAGGTTACCTACTCCGTCACTAAGCTGTGGGCTTTGGAACTGTTCGAAACGTGCTTTCTGCAGCAGGGATCATTGAACACACTTCCCCCCCAGCAGGCGGCCCTGACCGAAAGTAGGGCCCCAAAAAAGCACATAAGCAACAATTAGGATAGGGATATTCCATATAAATCCCCTTATAATGAAGCCCAGTAAGGTAGGGATATCCCTATACACAAAGCTTATGCTCATGTCCTCTCTGGGTTCCTAAGAACGGGGGCCCACCTTATGGTCATGTCGGGGTTTCGGGTTTAGGGCTTGGGGCACATGCTCACACAGAGCCAGGCGGCAATTTTGTAGGGGCCTTAAGAATTTCAATAAGGTTTTGAGGGATATCTACTATAAGTAGCATAAAGGAACCCCCAGAACGCTATATGTGATTATTAAGGCCCCTATATTAAGCAGGGTCAGAGCAACTGTCTGACAAAAGGGCCTTAGCTACCAGGTCCCCAGGAGACTCACTTCGGTTCACTGTACTAGAATCAGCAAGCTGTAATGTAGGGGCCTAAATAATGACCAATACTATTTTCGGGGCTCCTTATTATAATTATAATATAATGGGCCCCAAAACCCTATTCTAAGTATTAAGGCCCCTGTATTGCCATAAGGAACACTAGCACTGTACTTCCTTGCACGCTTCCAGCTGGAAAAAAAAGTCTGCAGACTCACGGATCAAGCTGCATCTTTATATGGGGCCAAGAAGGACTAAAGCAATATAGGGGTGCACAAAGGGGACACAATCCTGTACATCTGATCTTCTCTGTCTGGATGCTTCCTACATGAACCCCAACCCTAAACCCTAAACCCTAAACCCTAAACCCCTAAACGACTAAACCCCTAAACCCTAAACCCTAAACCCCTAAACCCCAAACCCTAAACACCTAAACACAAAACCTTAGCTCGCAAACCCTTCCAAAAGACCCTTGCAACCGCCACAACAGCCTTTGTGTTCATTACCCATAGGCCCCATCGTAGTTCCCTTTTGGGATTACCGTATAGGATTCTAAATATGAAGCCCAAAAAGGAACTACTATGGGGCCTATGGGTATACTCCAAACGTCGCCTCGCTTTCATCTAAGGTGTCCTTGCAAGGGATCCTAAGGCCATACTACTGGAGAAATCCGTAGTATAGAAACCCTGTTTTCTACCACGCCATGTAGGTGCTTAATCCTAAACACTAGACCCTAAGAGGCTGGCCCCATACATCCCTTGAGCAGTAGGCCGTATAGTTAGAACCCTTCATAGAGCACTACCTTCTACTGATGTCGATACTCAGCCACCCTAAACCCTAAACCCTGAACCCTGAACCCCTAAACCCTAAATCCCTGCAAGGTCCATCCATTTCGGCCCTTTCGGCCCTCGAAACATGTCCGGCCTTCAGCGTCATCTTCAGATGCAGTGAGAAGGGCCTTTGGGGCTCCGTGGCATGGGTTTCGGGTTCATAGAAGCGTTTTTACACGGGCTCATAGAAGGGTTATAAGATGGTATATGGGTTTCACAAGAAGCTTGTAGGGGCGTCTACGAGTCCTTGAAGGGCTTACGTCAGCGGGGTTTGGAGTAGGGTTTGGGGTGTTTAGATTTTAGGAGTTTGGGCCTTGAGGCTGCTCTTGGGATTGTGGAGGCTGCCAAGCAGAGACCCCAATAACTTGGACTTGAACATAGCATCCAAGGGTTAGCATGTTAATGTTGCGCCTTATGTACGAGCCCTGTATTGGCGGCGTGTACTCCAAAAACCTGCAAGTAAAAGGGCTCTCCGGATGCTCAAGCACCGCTTCATTCACGAACGGATGGACATTGGGGCTGCTCCTGTAGAACCCTAAACCCTAAACCACAAAACACCAACCGAAATCCGCATCGACAAGATTCAGATTTGAATTTCAGCCTTATATGTAGGTGCACCATAGTTGCGTGTGTATCGTCTGGATTGCTGGATTGGTGGCACAGCAAATTCCACAAGCTCTGGCCCAATCTCCTTAAGGCGTAAGCGAAACCCCGAAGCCACACACCCAAACCCTAAACCCTAAACCCAAAGCCCTAGCCTGCCCCTGTATGTAAGCTGTAAGCCCGACAGCCCCCTACAGCCCTAACACCCAAACTACACCTCGGGGTGAAAACCACCACTTTGTTCGCTAATCCCTGAGGCTCCTATGCTCAAGCGCCTTATCGGGACAAAAGCAATGCCATAACAGCCCTCATTCAGCGTATGTAATTATGCCTAAACGCTTCCAAAGCCCGAAAGCCCTAAAACCTAACTAAACCGGCTTGCTATCCCGACCCTAACCAGAAGAATGACTCCTACTCTAGAAACCCTACTTTTCCCGACTTTCTAAACCCTAAAGCCTAGACCCTATACTCATCTTCCTAAACCTTAAGCCCTAAACCCTGTAAACTCCATGCATCCCTCCTTTCTGAACCCTAAACCCTAAACCCTAGTATTCTAAACCTTAAACCCTAAACCCTAAAAGCCCTACTTATCCCTACTTTCCAAACACGAAACCCCATAAACCCTACTTATCTCCATTTTCGAAAGCTGCCACACTAAACCCCACTCATAATCCCTACTTTCTAAACCCTAAACCCTACTATTCCCTACTGTCTAAACCCTAAACCCTACTTGTCCCTACTTTCTAAACCCTAAACCCCACTTATCCGTACTTTCTAAACCCTAAACCCTAAACCCTTAGGTCCCTTCGGACCTCCAAAGCCGGGATGTGGCCGAGACCAGCCGCGATATGCACCGCCTCCAGCTCCGTCTCGTAGACCACCTGGTGTAGGGTTTAGGGTTTAGGGCTTAGGGTTTATTTAGCGTTCAGGGTTTAGGGTTTAGGGTTTGGGTTTAGGGTTCAGGGTTTAGGGTTCAGGGTTTAGGGTTTAGGGTTTAGGGTTTAGGACCACCTGCGCGAGTCTCGAATAAGGCTGTAAGGCTCTAGGGTCAGTCTAAGGGCTGAGGGCTTAGGGCTTTTTGTTTTTATAAGGGTCTACATAAGGGGTTTAATTAGGGGGATAGTGTAAGGGTTTAGGGTTTAGGGTTAAGGGTTCGTTTAAATATGTTTCGTCAAACCTGCTGCCAGCTTCATATCCGGTACGGTGGTTCTGCTGTAAGGTAAAGTTCACCTTCAGATGCGTCCACACGCAGTGCTGAATACTGTCTGGTATCCAGCTATAGGAGGCAGCGAACATGTCTAATCTAGCGTCTGAACCATTTCGTGATCCACAACACGATTCTCTTGCGGATCAATGACGGTAACATACTCAACTGGTATTGTAAGTGGCCTAGATAATTACAGTAAAATGGGCCCCAAAACCCTATTCGAGTTATTAAGGCCCCTATATTATTGTAGCAAGCAGAGAAGAAAGACGTGTCGGCAGTGAGATGCCCAGCATCTCCGGGACCCGAGCGCACCGTCCACGGTTTAGGGTTTAGGGCTTAGGGTTTAGGGCTTAGGGTTAAGGGTTGTTCCAGCCTACCCGTCTGCTTTCCGCTGTCACTTTCCTTCCGGTGGTTCGTCACAGAGATGTTAAAAGCCATCCTGTCTCCTGAAGCCGTGTTCGCCTTGATTTCCAGGAATTAGCATCCTTATGTTGTTAAATCTGAACCCTAAACCCTATACCCTAAACCCTGTACCCTAAACCCTAAACCCCTCCCCCTAAACCCTAAACCCTAAACCCCTCCCTCTAAACCCTAAACCCTAAACCCTGAACCCCTCCCTCTAAACCCTAAACCCTAAACCCTGAACCCCTCCCTAAACCCTAAACAATAAAAAACAAGACACCCTAAACAAACCCTGAGACCCCACGGGGCCGGAACCCCTAAACCAACAAATCCATCGCTTCATGCTCCTTCTGGGTTTAGGGTTTAGGGTTTAGGGTTTAGGGTTCAGGGATTAGCTGTGAAGCTTCGTGGGAAGGGGGGGGCTTTAGGTTTAGGGGCTGAGGCGTTTATGTTTTGTTTCGGGGTTTGGGGTGCTTTCTTTGGGTTTGGAGGGTTAGGGTGTGGCGTTTATTTGCCGTCGGCTCCCAAAACCTCACGCGAGGTTGGAGGGACCTAAACCCGGCTCTGTCTGATGGGGCTTAGTAAGAAAGGTTATAGGTACCTTGATCGGGGCTGCAAGCACTTAATTTTTTCCTACCACCCGAATACTAACCCTAGTTAGTTACGAAGTCCCATGATGTGCTAAATATCTAAACCCAAAATCCTACGCCCTAACTCCTTATCCCGATACCTCTCAAATCGCAAGCCCAAAATCAGGAAGGCCAGAACGGGTTTGCATTTCGGGTTGTGAGGGGCGGTGAGGGGCTTCTTTAGGGGCGTCTTTCAGGGCTCCAAAGTGGCTTCTGAACCTTTGAACGATTGGCCTTCCCCATGCCCACGATCATCGGTTTAAGGTTTAGGGTGAACGACTAGTAGTGCTACCTTGTTTAAGGTTTCGGCGAATAAGTCTAGTGCCTAGGGTTCTAAGGGGGTTTCTGCTTGATTGGAGCGTGATGAACACTTGCCCGAACCCTAGTTCTCGCTCTATATGATGGCTGAGGATGCCAAGCGCTCGGTGGTTTAGGGTTTAGGGTTTAGGGTTTAGGTTTAGGGTTTAGGCTTCGCAACCCCCAACCCCTCAAACCCTTAAACAAAAAAAAAAGCTAACGCCTACAGCCCTGAAGCCCTGATTTACCCCCTAAAGGCCTGAATTGAACCGCATGTTCTTGAGTGCAAGCCGCCACAACCCCAAGTCATAAACCCTATGCCCACAGAAAGCTTACTTGAGGTACGGTTGATGGACAAAATCCTGCATTACCCACTATAAGGAATATACCATAATTCCCATAGTTTAGGGTCCTTAAGGTCATGCAGGATTTTGTCCATCAGCCGTATGATGGGACTTCGTAACAAGGGTTGTTATTAGGGCATCGATGACCTGACTTACTGACGTCCCAAGTAAGTAGACAGCACCCTAAACCCTAAACCCTAAACCCTAAACCCTAAATCCTAAACCCCAAAGCTGGCTCATGATGATCGTCGGCAGCCTGCTTCCCGTCTGGGTGTGTCCTGGGATTCCCCAAACCATAAACCCTAAACCCTAAACCCTGCACCCTTTGGGGCTAAGGGGTTCAGCTCCCTTGAAGATGAACTTCTCATGGTTAGCGGCTTAGGGCTTGAAGGTATAAGGGCTTAAGGGTTTAAGGCTTAGGGTGTTCGATTAGCGTTTAAAGGTTCAGGGGTTTAGGGCTTGAGGGTATAAGGGTTTAAGGGTTTAGGGGTTGAGGGCTTGAAGGTTTGAGGGCTTAAGGGTTCAGGGCCTGCTGGTGGAATCTGGAATGCTTTTGCCTTCAGCGCCGTGCCATTCGACTTCCCAGTTTGCTATCCGGTAATCAAAGCAGAGGCGTTCCCGGGAACATGGGCGGGGGGGGGCCTTAATGAGTAGAAGAGGGTTCGGGGGTACATTAGTCTAGTTATAATCCCGACCTAGACTCTAAACCCTACACCCCAAATCCTAAACCCAAAGCCCTAAACTCTAAACCCGGAGCCCCAAACTCTTAACTCTAAGCCCTAACCCCTTGAAATAAGGAGCCCTTGGGATGATCCTGGCAACTTTCCAACCTCCACTACATCCGAACTACGGTTGATGATATACATCCTACATTACCTAAAACAACACAAGGATTTGGGGTTTCGGGGTTTAGGGCTT